TCCTGATTTTCAAAGGCTTGCATGGAGAGAGAATGGGCATGCTGAATGGCCTAAAAAAACACAAGGCAAAAGTTATTTGAAAATTTTTTGCAAGTATGAATAGGAGAAAGAAGGACAAGTTACCAAGTGAAGACACTTACTTGAATAGAACGTTGAAGCATGAAAGCATAGTTCTCATACTTGCTCATCTTGGCGTTCCTGTCAAGATCGCCTGGAAGAAGTAGAGCAGTACTGAGGGCGACGCCGACATTGATGTCATCGGCGCTATCATTAGCCATAACAAGCTTATCTTCTAGAGTAATTTCAGGCGCCCAGGGGACGTCTGGTATTTTGGACCCCGAGGTCGTTGCCGAGGATGACCTCGGCTTCTTTGATTTTTGAGATTCTGATTGCTGGGTTTCAGAGCGCCTCTTCCAAGTAGAGGGTTGAGATTTGTCACTCTCAACCAACTTGGAAATAGGTAAAGTATCCTCAGATTCAACCTGAGTTACTTTAGCCTTTGGCTGATCCTTTTTAATTCTTTTCGGCTTCGGTGGGGGCATGGTTTGTGTTGGTTGAGTTTCAACATCAGAAGGGAGGCTGGCTAAGAGGTCTTTTGCAACTGGTTTTGGGCGGCCCATCTCGGCAGTAAGGATAAGTCGTCGCCGACATTTTCATTTTGATATTGGGACCAGGTATGGAGCCGAAGTTGATGGCTGATCTACTGGATCGGATGTTGATCCTTGATCTGTTCGTGATGTGGATGCAGTCAATAGAGTTGTAGTAGAGGGTGGAGAAAGTCTTTTCTTCTTCCTTTTGGGAACATCGGGCAAAGTTGACTTATATGTTAGAATAAAATTGAGAAGCACAAGCGCTTTTCTTTTATGGACTGGCAAGTCCATAAGTTTCTTCAAATCCTTGCTGGGAACAAAGGATTGGCGAAAATTTTTCAGTGGCTTACGAACAGCTGCAAGAAGAACAGACGTCAGAAACAGACAAAGTATTTAAGACTTTGAAAGAAAACAGGCAAAGCTGAATACTGGGCTCTTATCCTTGCCCTCTAAAACTGATCGAGGAAGAAGGTAGAGATGGATGTCCTCATCTGGAGCAAACTCCCAATTTCCCGAGGTAATGAAATAGTCGTCTCCAGCCCCCTTGTTGGAGTCTGGGAGGTTGGCTACGATTTTGAAATCTGTAGACCTTGGCTTAAGGTAATAAATGTAGCATTTTTCTTTCAAATTAAGGGCACACATGGTATAGCAATACTGGATATTGGCTAGGGTGATCCTAGCATTTTCCTGTTTGGCTAAGGCTATGATGCCATTGATCACTCGGTAGGAATTGATTGCCAGTTGCATGGGGTTCAACTTATAATAGTGAAGAATCTCACAAAAAAGGATGTTGAGTGGGAGCTGAAGTCCGCACTCAGTGAAAGCTACAATGAGAAAGGGCATCGAATCATCTGTGGGCATGATGCAGTCATTATCTCCAGCCAGCCTCAGATGGACATCGGCAGGGATAGAGAACTCTTGCCTAAAGTACTCAAGTTTGGTCGGGGTATCTACCGTATGTTTCCACATACCCATGATATCGGCCTGAATTAGAGGGGTTGGATTTCAGAGAAAAAATGTTTTAAGAGGGTTAATAAGACCTCGGCAAAAATCTAGGTAAAGTACTAGTTTCAATTTTTTCCTAAATTATGGGTTCTGCACAACAAATCCCAAACCTAGATCTATGAAAGCAAGGGTTGAAGGCACGGATCTGGAAGACAGAAAGGCAAAGACGTGCTTTAGAATCAAGAACAGGGATGGGATGTCAAGAGCATAAAGAATACGAGAAATAAAGGGTCAAGAACAGTAACAAGAAAGCAACAAAGTGGTGAACAGTATGTATTCAAGATATGGGCAAGATCAAAACCATTTGAATAAATATGTTCAGATATGTGATTCGCAAGATTTGAAACAATAATGGCAACAAGTAATGAAGAATATCAACAGAATTAAAAACGAAAGGAACAGTGGCTTACCAGAAAAAAGTGAAGCCGGTATGAAGATTGCTGAAGTCAGACGACAGTTACAGATGTAACAAAAACGAACGAAAGCTTCACAGGAAAGGAGAAAGGAAGACAGTTGCAGAGCTTGAGGACTGGAACAATGGCGTATTCAGGAGCTAGAGAGAGAAAAAGCGAAGAGAAATCGAATGCAAAAGTGAAAAATGAAGAAAGGGGGAAAGGTTTTGTCAAAAATTTGAAACGGCGGAAAAACGGAGCATTGAATGCGCCTGGAACAACGCATACGCCAGACGGCGCACACAGACGCAAGACTGCTTGCAAGCGGGTCATAGGCACGGTCCAATGGGGTGAAGACACGTGAATGAAACGGTTGAGTAAATGATGCGTGACAGCTCACACACGTGAAAGAGTTCACTGGAATTCTTGTTCTCTGAAGAGAACATGTCGGCCTGAAATGAATGATCTCGGCTGAGGAGTTCTTGAGCCGATGTACAGGAAGAAATACCGATATAGGTTCCATCACCTCAGGATACCGAGGTAATAGAACCTAGGGGGCAGTTGTGGGGATATATTTTCTAAGTACCAACACGTGGCAAGGTGACGCCGACGTGTCAGCCGAGGTACCACGTGTCCTGGTCGTTATGTCGAGGTAATCTCGGTTAGGTCGAGGTTTCCTTCGAAGCTATCAGAATCCGAGATAAGCGGATAGGGGACAAGAGTCCAAGAATGAAGAGGAGACTTAGTCAAGATGAGGATAAAGCTCTTAGGGAGTTTATCTTTATCTCTTGAAGAGTCCAAGGTATGTCCAGAATTGGAGTCCCTAGAAGTCAAGTTTCTAGTGGGACTAGGATTGAGTTAACTATAAAAAGAGAGGCAACCCCGTGGGTCTAAGGTACGCAATTTATGCTTTGAGCAGTGAGTTTAGCACTTGATTATCTTTGAGAGATATACTGACTTGATCGTCGGAGTGCCCCCGAGTGGAAGAACCACCGCCGGAACCTTCTCTTTCTGTTACAGGTTAGCTGAAGCCATCTATTCTACCGGTGCTCTCTAGCTGATTACTAAACGGGCAGTGTGATCAGAAAATCACTCACACAATTGCCTATCAATGTTATTGCTACATGTGTCATCATTTTGTGTGAACCCTTGACCAAATAAAAAGTTTCTGATGGGGGAATTTTTCTTTTCATTGATTATAACACAACTGAAATTTAATGGTTATATATATATATATATATATTTTCCTGATTTCAGGATATGGGGACCTTATGCATATTTCCAAGCATTAGAGGAGTTGACTGAGAACTCATAACTCGGCCATCTTGTGAATGGACCTCAAGTTTTGGATTTGAGTCAACAACAAATGGGTCGACACAGAGATGCATTTATCCCCATAAGCAGCTCATCAATGAATGATATGGAATCTGGAAAAAAGTAATTTGTATGTCTTGGGATTTATTTTGGGTGTAGTTGCTTGTTCTAACTAAATTGGAAGGCCCTTTTGTTTGGATCTCATCTGGTCCTTTATAGAGAAGATATATCATAGATATTTATAAGCATTCATTTATTACTTGTGAGAGGAACAATACTATTTCATTGCTACAAGTATGGATTATTGAAAAGAGTAAGACGTGTGTTTGGATATTTTCCTTTAACTTTGTTATATGACATATTTGACATAAATAGTTTAAGGGAATCCTCCGAAGAGAAAATGGATTATGGGAGCGGGTGACTTGAATTATTGATTGGTCCATGTAGATATATTGCTTTAGGGTCCGGTTAGCATGTGCACCCTTCAAAGGGTGCACATGATGTGCAACTTACTTGATAACCATATGATCTTTACCAACTAATCTAGGCCATAGAATAATTTAAGAAGCATAACCTAGAACCTTTTCAATCGGTAAACCAATTCAGGAGACTTCCTCTCTAACTCTGTAGAAAAAAGCCTCATGTTTTTACTCCCCAACCCTCTAGGAGAACCCTCCCTTACATTTTCGTCCTACACCACTCCGACGATCTTCTCCCTGCCTCTTGTATTTCACTCCCTCCTATGACACCACCCAAAGCCCCTGTCCATAATTCAGGACATAGAATTTCGGTAAGCTTCACTCCCTCACGTTTTCGAAGCTTAGACAATCACCGGAAAGACAAAGGTGCTATTGAATTCCGGTAAGATTTTGCATTTTCCTCTTTCCATTTGGTTCAAAGGGTTGGTACCACTAATCAATCTTGCTAATGGATTCATTGATGGATCCCGTGGATACTAACAGAGGCCATGGCCCTTTTACTTTGGCAAAAAAACACCATTTTCTTTTATAAAACAAAAACAAAACTCCACAACTTTTAAACAAAATCCTTTTCATTCATTTTGCTCAACGGCTGTTTGTTATGTTTCGGTTGATAGAACCCCTTGGATTGATCTTGGTGTATGTATTTATTGATTTTCTTTGGTTGATTAAATATTTTGAAGTGAGAATTTTATATGTTCCTTTGATAGTTTTATATCTATATGTTTAATTACTTTCTTTTTTTTTTTGTTGGCGCTTTTGAGAATTTGTGAGTTGTCTTGCCTTGAAATTTAGGTTCTTATATGTTGTTGTTCAATTATGAATGAATTTTTGGGGTCAATTTGGTAAAAAAATCAAGAATAATTTCTTTACTTACCAAATAGATTGTGTTACTGTTGGTTGGAAGAATACAATGAGGCAAGATGTAGCTCGAATAAAATTTATTCAATTTTTGTAGTGATTAATTATATGCATTAAAATATTTAGGGCATAAAACCATATCTTTTGCTTCTTTCTTATTTGTTGAGAACTGATTGTATAAGTTTTTTTTTTTTTTTTTTGGATAAGCAAGTCATATTATAAGCAAAAAAGAAAGATATATAATGAAGTTCAATACACATCTTTTATAGGGAGAATAAACATAAACAAAAACAAACTACTCCCTCAAAAGAATCAAACTAAGCCTATAGACGAAAAACACAACATACACAACAAAGGATTCAAAATTTCCCTCTAGCACTCTTCAAGTAATGAAGTTTCACTTTGAGTTTTCTTCTGTTATCCTCCTCTGTAGTCTCCCCATTAATGGGATCACTTGGAGATGGACTCCCTCTACTTTTTAGGCTCTTCGTTTGACACAACAACTCTTGATTTAATTCTCCATTCCCTAACTCTCCCATATCACATGATTCAAGGACATCAAAAGCATTAGATGTTGATGGAGTGAAACGCTGCATCTCTCCTTCTTTGTTTATCACTGTCGTTGAACCTTGCCCATCATCTCTCCCTTTTTTCTTCACCACTTCCCTCTTAGTTGGAACTTGTATGTTAGTCTCCTTGACTCTCCACTCTTGGTTGGAAGATGGAGGGTTCAAAGTCTTTGGCTTCTGAGGGCACAAATTAGTGGTATGACCAAAAGTCTTACAAACATCACACCTTTGAGGCTTCCATAGAACCTCAACTTGAATCTCATATGGGTCACCATAACAAAGATTTATTTTGAAAGACTCAGGGATCTCTTTATTTGCTGACACTTCAATACATATTCTTGCAAACGTAAGTCTGTTTCTCTTGAACGTAGGCTCATCCAAATAAAGAGGAGTTCCCATGATGCTAGCAATGTAACCTAAACCTTCTTCAGTCCAAAGCTCCAAAGAAACATTATACAACTTCACCCATAACGGCACACTCGGAAATTCACACTTTGTTAGTTTTAGTCCAGGTTGCCATTTTTTAACAACAATCAATCTAGCCCCAACGTAATAGGGGCCATCTTCCAAAATTTCGTCTATAGCCTCTTCACTTTTTACTTTAAAAATAAAAAACCCATTATTAATGGAGACAACATCCTCAAGCAAATTTTCCCAAAGTTTCTCTGCCCAAGTTTTCACATAATGGAAAGAGAATCTTTTATCAATGAAGTATCCAACCAAGGCATTTTCCCAATGAGAAAAGCCTTTTTTTAAGATCTCTATAGGGACATTGTACATGCCATCTACTAGGTTTTCAATCTTATGGGCACCTATTTTATATTTCATTTTTGACACCTTGTTAATCTCTTCTTTAAGTCAAGAGCTCCAAGCTTGTAGAGGCTTACCTGATATAGCAGTTGTATCACCATCAAGACATTCACCCTTGCCAGATTGTGTGTCTTCCATATGTAGTTTAACCAAATCCTCATTTCTACAAGCTCGCACATTTTCAACACTCTTATGTTGCTTGGTGCCAATTACTTCTCTCCTTTGATCAACACTGGGTGAGGCAAGTTTATTTGTCATTATCATTTCATTTGCCGCCAGTGGGGAAACAATGGCCAATTTTGGCTACTGCTCAAGATCAGTTAGCACTCTAGTTGGGGTGTTCCATGCATTAGGTGTTTGATGCTGCTTTGATGATTGCTCAGTTGAGGCTTACATTTCCACATTCAATTGCAACAGTGTTGTACCATGATTTCCACACAAACATAGATCGACACAATCACACTCAATTGAGTTATCCTCCGATTCCACATCCCTTAAACCCCTTTTGTTTTCATTCGAGGGTCCTTGCCATGGTCCCACAAAATCTCCAGATGTGAGAAATTTGGGGACTCCTCGAATGCGTGTAGACCTACGGGGGAGTACAGCAGGCATCTCATCGGTAGATATTTGAGCATCCACCTGATTATCAAACTCTTACAAGGAGACTTTGGTTGATTTGCACTTAACAGATTTACATTTTGATTTACTCTTTGCTAATTTGCTCTTAGCTAGTTTGCCCTTCTTCATTGATAGCTTGTTGCCCTCTCTGTCTCTCTCTTTGTCCCTCTATCTCTCTCTCTCTTTCTCCTTAATCATCTTATGACTTCTCAGTAGCAGAGTTCACTGAGGCATTTTGTCGAACAGATGGAGGGCAAAAAGTTGGAGAGCTGTTCTTTTTCTAGGGCTGAACCTGAACGAACTGGAAGGTGGAAGGAGTGGAGAGGAAGCAAGTAGAGAGGTTTCCGCAGACAAAGGCAGGATTCTGGAAACCGATGCCCGTCGATTCTCTGAAATGTTGTCCACCTTACGGAAAAGTTTTGGATTGCTTCAGCTACGAAGACCTCTTCAATGGTAGCTTTTTCTTTCTTTCTAATCTCTCAGGCTCCCTCTGTTCAGAATCTTGTTCTTTGTTCTATCGAAACAGCTCCACTGTCTAACAGAGCCTTCTTCTCTACACCTAGACAAGTTGCTCCATAGGCTGAAAATATATGAAGTTATCTGGCTATATGGGCAACTCTACTGGCCTTGTTGCAACGAATTCCAAGTCAAGTGCAATGATTGGTTCCAACCTAGGAGGATAGGAGAGCTTGACTTTGGTTGTGAAGGCTAGCTTTCCATGTTGATTGTATAAGTTTATTTTCTCATTACAGTAGACAGATGGGAGGTTATGTCCCCTGCAAGAATTGTAGCAACTTTATGTATATGTGTATGTGATATAGTGAGGTGCAGTTGTTTATAGATGTTTGGCCCCTGCAAAACTTCTTTGACCCCTACAATACATACATATTTATCCCACATGAAAAAACTAAAAAAAATCCCTAGATATTGATTTGTGATCATGTATCAATTTTAAGCAGTAAATAACAATCCCAATCAAACAATCAAGACAAATCGATACAACAATTTTACGTGAAAAAATCACAATTGAAGCGCCGCCAATTGTGATAAAAAAAAACCACCGGCAAAAGCCACAAAACAATCCACTAAGAAGATATAAAGGAATTACACAAGTGTACTCTCAATTACTTAGCGAATCCACACCCAAATCGAACTGACCCCTATGTGCCTCTTCTAGCCCCGTCTTCACTTCGAAATTGTCTTGTACAATGTTGAATCCACAATGCCGATGTCGAATCCATGATGATGAGCCACTCTAGAATCTACCAAAGCTTCAGGCCCAAATTCCCCAATATCCACCGAAGAACAACTCTCTCTTTTGTATTGAATAAATAAAACAAACAAACCCTTTGATATAATCCACTCAATTCATGATTGAAACTCTCATCGATATCAAAGGAAACAAGCAAAGTAGCTCTAGATAAAAACCCTAATACCCATGAAGAAGATCTGGAAGTCGTAACCCTAAAATCTGACTGAAACACATATTTATAGAAAATCAGGCCGTGAAGGTTGCTCGAGCGAATGATCTTTCGCTCGAGCGAGGAGACTAAAACACGTGTTTTTCCAAGAGTCTTTGCTCAAGCCACCAAAGTGTTGCTTGAGCGAGAAATGTAACTTCTTAGTATTTTTACAGTCAGTGAAAACTTCTGGGACCAAGGATTCTTCACTCTAGCGCACAATCCTTCGCTCGAGTGAACAAACAACTTCGACTGCATTTTTGTTTTTTGCTTCTGGGCTGTTGCCCCTTAACCCCGCCTGGGCGCTGCCCCGAACCCGTCCCCTGCAAGCTGATCGGGCAGCTCGATCCTCGACATAGTTAGCGAAGCGGCAAACATGAAAGAATTAATTTCTGAAACTTCTTTGCAAGGCATAATTCTAGTTGGATTCATATCTAAAACTCATAGCCTCACTAAAATAAAGGATCGAATAAAATTACAACTGAAAGGAGTTTTGTCAAACGGGATTTCCAATAACAAAAATCTAACACCACAGAACATAGAAGTGAGCCCAAACATTATTAAAGTATTATAAAAAAATGTGGCAAAGAAGTAATATTTTGACATGACCCGAACCCGCCCCTATAGATTAAGGTCATAACCAGCCAGTAATTATGAGATTACCTACGACCTCAAACAAATAAACATATCTTAATAGTAATAAAAGGGCTAAAGCGGAAGCAGACTTAAAAATTTTGTCCATTGAGCTCGGCTTATACGGAAAATTAAAAACATTTCTTATATACTTGATAATAACTCACACCATATACTAGTAGCTAACATCTTGTCCACCCAGGATCATTCAAACACACGGTTAGCTATACCAAAAACTTATACACATAAATGGTCTATCATGACCAATAGAAATAGCAAAAGCAAATACAAAAGATCATAAACAAAGCCTCTTGCGTGAGGCACCTGGGTTGGCTTCACAAAACTCGGGTTCCTTTCTCAAACTCCACTAAGGCTGGGGTTGAACATCCCTTTGCTCACCTACATACATATAAATAAGAGTGAGTTAACACCCAGTGAATAATACCAAAGTAAAGGGGTTTATGAATGAGATTCATATGAAGTACATCGAACCCGTAAATTTCATATACAAACGGCCTTAGGCCTATTCTGTGCTTTTGTTGTACATGTCAAATGACCTCTAACCCATTTTAGATCCTTAGCAAACATATTAGACGGCCTTGGGCCCATTGTATAACTTGTCAGATTCATCAAACGGCCTCGGGCCCAATTCAAACACTTTAAACGTATCAAACGTATCAAATGGCCTCAGGCCCATTATTTCCATATTCACATTTATGCACATTTCATATTCATGATCATGATCACCTTTTCATTCAAACGGCCTTTAGTCCATTACATTCATATTCAAACGGCCTTTGGCCCATTACGATATTCAAATGTCCTTTGGCCCATCACAATATTCAAACGGACTTTGGCCCATCACGATATTCAAACGGCCTTTGGCCTATCATTATATTCAAAAGGCCTTGGGCCCAAATCATGTTCTTCACAGAGCCTTATACAAAAATTAAGCATATAGAATACTCATTTGTAATTCAAATCAACAAATCCATGAAGCTTATACAAAAGTAGCATTTGGAAAATAACATACTTGAAAATATCTTTACTAAGATATTACTCACAGTGCTCGGATTGTTGATTCATCCTCGTGGATGCTCCTAGACAATTCATAAGCATACACAAATCGGATCACAATGTTATTTAATCCGCTCCTTGACTTGTTTAACTCTCTTAGGCTCCTTTCTAACCTTTTAATTAATGTATGCCTAATAGTGTTCAAATCATGAACTTGTGTGGCTTATCCACAACTTCAAATAATACTTAGAAATTCTTTGAAAAACATGGATTACAAGGTTCATGCTCAAATGATGAAATTCAACATTTAAACCAAATAAATCTTTCCTCTTTTCCCTAATCATTTACTTATGTTGTTTCTTAGCTTATTAGTCCTCAATAAGTCATAATTCATGCTTAAGAATATCCAGAAAGATATGGGAACGAAGATATGCGCTTAAAACATCTTTTAAAAACATGCTGAAAATAAGCTGTTGGCTAGAGCCAGCTGAAGGCAAAAACTGAGCTCACTCGATCCACCACTTCTTTGTTCGAGCCAGATTTTGCAGAGTTCAAAATACTGGGAGCTCGTGATGTTGGCTTGAGCCACCACTTGGTCGCTTGAGCCAGCTGCAAATTTTCTGGGTTTCAAAATAGAAAATCTGAGTTCCAAAAATACATTTTAACATGTAAAAGCTTGCATGGCCATTCCAAACTCATGAAAACACTTTGATAATCATAAAAACATTTTAGAAAACTCAAATACAAGATCATCCATAAATCATTTGCTCAAAACCTCATGAATTTACCAAAATTGAACTCAAATCTTCATGCATGTGAGGATTAATTTCAAAACTCTTTTCATGACTTTCCAAACATAAAATTAAGCTTCCAAGACTTATGAAACAATGATGCATGTGCAATATAACTTTCAATTTCATCATGAATCATAGAATTCAAGCCCAAAATGATAAAATTCTACATATTCATATTCTAAATTTAACATGGATGACAAGGATCATGCTCAAGAGTATGAAACTCTTCCAATTCATGAATTCATGTATTTCAAACCTTCGAGAGTTGGAAAACATGAATGCATGTAAGTGACAACTCCCAATTCAACATGATTGTCAAAGTTCATGCTCAAAACTTGAAGAATCGAACCAAATACTTGCATGTATGTACAATTTCATCTCAATTCCTACAATCTTTGTTCAACTCACACATTTAATCTCATTATCTTCTTAAATCCACAATTTAAGTGATTTAACTCCCAAATTGAAGTTCAAACTCTTACCTACTATCTTCAATGAGGCTAGGTTTAGCAATTTCTTAAGCCTAGCTTCCAAATTCTTCAATCATTCAAGCCAATTCCTCAAGATTGAGCTTCTCTCTCTCTAAGATGAAGACTTCTATCTCTATATAGCTTAATCTCAGCAAAATGGTGAAGATGAGCTCTAAATTATGAGCCTAGGCACTAACTCAACATATATATAGTGGGTGATTAGTTTAAGCTAATTAAGTATTATTAAGACTAATCAACCTCACTTA